TTAATATATTGCACATTTAGCTATTGTCTATGTAAGAAGACAAAAAAAATATTTTATAAAACGAGTTTAATAATAATTTTTGTTGCCTCAGAGTACTTCCAACTGGTTGATTTTGTCCCATGTAGCAAAAAGTTTGGACACCACTGGGCTAATAGACAAAACAAAGCAACTTCACAACATGTTTAGCCTTCCTAGTACCTGTTGAAAGTCTTGTTCTCTTAATGAACCCAAGACACATTCCACTATACGACAGAGAATAGTTTCCTTTAAAGAGCCTCCTATATCTACTATTCTTCACTCCAAATTAAAGAATGTTATCAGCAGCATCTTGTAGTGCTAGCCATGGTGAGCTTACTGATCAATAAAATCAGCTGAAAGATCAGCTGATTTATCAGTTATTTAGTGTAATAAATAAAAATCTGTTTGTTTCCCATCTCACACACACGCACACACATATTCACAGTGTATTGTCTGTACATCGAGAGGGGTCGGACCCCCATGCCTTCAGCACATACCCCCAGCTGACTGCATCAATTCAAATAGTTCCTATTTAGAAAGCTCATTTATTTGATTAAACTCTGGATATGAAGCACATGCTGTTAGAATGGGCTGAACATGAAAATGGAGAAATTCATATAATTATTTTTAGATGCACAAAGTTATAAAAATATCAGGCACCCATCACTGAAAAAGAGGATGGATTTGACGTGTGAAAGGAGTGCAATTATTTACTAAATCAGGCCCTTGTGTGTATGAAGTAGCTTCTTATTACTTTGCGCTAAGTTCATAAAACCCAAAGTATACCCAGATGTCTACTTTTCAAAACATTTCCCGCAGTTTGTAATCCCTCCCTGATTTTTATAGCCTTTGTTTCTCAAACTGGCAAACAGATCAGCAACATTAGCACAACATGGCGTGTAAAGCAGAAAAGCTAAATGAAACGAATACTGCATGATTTTAGGCAGATAAATAAAATGCAAGCCTGTAACTTTATGTGCTTCCTCATCTCTGCTGAAGATGGGAACAATTTATTATTTTCCACCAGATTCATTCACACCAGTTTTACTGCTAAAAGCTAAAAGCTACAAGCTTTACCTCTCACCTTGTTGTTTGTTTTCCACTCTTGCTCCTCTCTTGACCAACCAGAGTTCATGTTTCTGGGCCATATTTTGTCTCTTTTTCTGACGTTCTGTCTTTCTTCTTCAGGTTTTGGATGATGGGAGCGTGAGTAACACCTTCACCCATAAATCTCTGTTCCCAGAGGACATGGATCCTCTGTCAGTCCAAGGGAACTTGAGCCCTGAAGGGACTCTGTGGGTAACCGTACGACGGACCACAGAGGCAAGTGGACCAGAGCCACGGGGAGTCACTACCTACAGCAAAGAGGCTCACCTTTGACCTTTGTGTCCTCTTGATGACAATCGTAGCTTTCATTTAAATGAGTACTGATTCCAGGTGACTTTTAGTAGCGCTGGCCTTTTTGTTTATTCTTGTCATTAAATATTATAACAAACCTGATGTTACTGTCCACAATTGATTCTTGGGTTTTGTTTCAATTGAAATAAAACCTGAAAACACACTTTCAGTCACACTATTACAATATTAATTTGTGTTAATTTTGTCAAATAATTTATGGAAGGGTTATATTACTACTTATTATATGAAGATGCATGACACAGACCTTTTTCACTCCCATCCCAGCATTGCACACTGGATTATTATACTGTAAACTTGTAACAGCTTAGTTACAAATCAATCCTGCACAGCAGCAAGAAAACTTTTATTTAACACTTACCTGAAGCAGACTTCACCAGCGTGGACAGATGGTGTTACAAGCAACAGCTTCAAACATCCTAAATCATATAAAGTGTCATTTGTATGTTTTCAGAGCTCTCACCTTCAGCTCAATTACACAGTGGTCAGATCTGCTATAAACATCCCATTACTCAGAGGGTTTTAGATTAAAGGCACAGCAGAGACTTTAAACACTGTGAAAATTATTCTCCACAGAGTAAACACATCGACGACAAACAGACAGAACCTTAGGAGACGGTCCGGTTGCTCCCTGCTTCAACCCACTGAGGGACGACAAATGAACACGTTTAGCTCATTAAGCTTTTAAAGCAATGCTCTGTAACCAACATCCAGATGCTCTCCTCTAACAGCAAAACAGATTTTTATGATTGTTTACATATAGTGAATGTTCACATGGGCAGAAAACAGATGGGCAGAGGGACAGCAAGAACAAGAACATGTGCAAATGCTGCTTACTTATGTCCAAAATGGTCCAATAAATATTCTGTGAAAGAGCTCAGTTTGGAGATTGTTAAATGAAATCTTTAGCTTTGCATGTTAATTTATTGAGAACATGAAATATATCCCTTCTTTCCATGTCTGATCTATGTACTGAAATATGTTAACTCCATCGACATCAAGATTATCTACACAAATCCACAACAAAGGAACATGTGAGTCAATAAAAACTGAGTTGATATTTGGATGATGTGTTTTTATTGAATGCAACTATTCAAGCCAATCATAGATGCTTATGGATTTTTATAAAATGCATGTAGCCACTGCTCTACTGGAAATATAAATGGTCATGTTGGCTGAATACTGAACAGGAGCAGAGTACCAGCTGTAGTCAAGGACAATATGCTGTGTATGATCCAAATATGGCCTTAGAGAATTATATTATTATGTATGTTTTCTATTCTAGTCCCATCATTACTCTTGATTCCTGTTTTATTAGATATAAAATACACAGATTGAGATGGATTTACAGGTATTATTATTCTGGGGTTCATTGAGAAGCAATATAGTGAGAACATATCTTCTCTCTTAAACATCTCTTAGGAGATACTCAGCAAACAAAGTTCAAGATACTCTGGAACTTTGACCATTTAGACATATCAGAGCTGTTGAGCTGCAATATCTTCTTTTCCTGGATCACAATCATGCAGAGAGTTATTTCAGAATTTGGTTTGGACTTTCTAAAACAAACTTGGACTTTCTAAAACAAACAAATAAACTTCTGATTTATTTGTTTTAAAGGTGATGTCATGGCCATTTATGTTAAATTTTGTGAATTATAATTTGTAACAATTTAGTTTCTTTTTTGGGGAGTTAGAATTTATTTAAGTTGATTTAGAATTGACATTTGTAAGAATTTTGTATTTGGAATTGTTTAGAGTAAGACTATGTTAATTGTTAGACCCTCCCATTAATTTGAGTAATTAAAAACACACCGGGTGTTGGGTGCGGCAAAGAAAAATTTGTTTGGTAAATGTCTGGTGTGTTGAGGGGAGGTTGTAAAAAAAGATTTTTTGACCACTTTCTGGAGCATTTTGTTGGACACCTTTTTAAGATTAATTTTCATTTTGACTACGTTTTAAGACACTTTAATTATGTATTTTTTGTCACTATTTTTTCCAAGAAATAAATTATATTTTTTACAAACATTGAAGAAGTGCGTTCAAAATCACCGCCTCTTAACACCCACGGCCTTAGATGGAAACTTGGATTTTTTTTGGAAAATAGAAGGCCGTGACAGGTGATATTTAGATAAGGGATATTAGATTAAGAAAAAAGGGATGTCTCTCACTGTTGGATTGATTTATTGCACTTCATTTTGTTAACAGTTAATAGAAAAATAGCTCAACAAAACCTTCTCTGTGGGAAGGAACCATGGGGAATAAATCAATGTAGCAAAACAAAGAGAATCAGAAATGTCCTTTCAAACTAGCAGATTTTCTTTTGTTCATTCCAGCTATTCACTGATATTATCTGTTGATCTCTGCAGGTCAGTTAGACTATAATAATTTTCAGAACAGATTTTCAGGATTATTGAACTATTCTTGTGGTGGAACTCCCAAACTTGGGCACATTAGAGAAAAGAAAAGTTTAATCCTTTCTAGGATTATTTGACATCTTCATACTCTGGTCTAGCAAATTATTTTAGTTCAGATTTGTTCTTTTTGTAGACTTTTTTTTCATGGGCAATGATCATATTTCTGACTCCTTCTCTGCCTGACTAATAACTACTGAAGATCAATCTGTAAGAAAATGTCTCACCTCCATGATCCTTTAAAGATGGAAAAATTCTAGGCAATTTCCCAATCTGACTTCTAGAGGTCAGTACACAAAAATCCCTCCTATAGAAACAAAGTGACAGTTTGGTAACACCTTTGTTGAGTAAGGCCAGCCAGACCTACCTGTGATTAGGCAGGGTAATTCCTGCCACTGATCACTGTACTTTTGAATGTTTTCAACAAAAACTTTCTTCATATGTGAGCAGAATATGCAAACATACACTACCGTTCAAAAGTTTGGGGTCACATTAAAATGTCACTAAAAGCACTGTACTTTTCAATGAAAATAACTCTAAACCAGTCCTAACTTTAAAGAAATACACTCTATACATTGCTAATGTGGTAAATGACTATTCTAGCTAAAAATGTATGGTTTTTGGTGCATTATCTACATAGGTGTATAGAGGCCCATTTCCAGCAACGATCACTCCAGTGTTCTAATGGTACAATGTGATTGCTCATTGGCTCAGAAGGCTAATTGATGTTTCAAAAACCCTTGTGCAACCATGTGCACACATCTGAAAACAGTTTAGCTCCTCACAGAAGCTACAGTACTGAATGGGGTGACCCCAAACTTTTGAACGGTAGTGTATGTATAAATCAAGATAAAGATTGACTTCTTGATGATCTGATGCAGAACATCTTTCATTTTACGTTACGTTGCAGATAGACAGGTGTAGAAAAAGAAAACCTTTGACATTTGGAGGTATAAAATATTCATGACAAACAAAACAATCTAAAGGTTTGAGTAGTGCTGCATTTGCCCCACGGGGAATGACAGAAAAACAAAACAGGAGTCCAGGTGCGTTCCAGCTGTCGCTGGAGGGGGAATTAAAGATGACAGAGGACAGGAGCACAGCTGCAGGATGACTGAGACTCTCAGACAGAAAACACACTCCAACACAAACACTCGTTTGGTAAAATCATATTTATTCATCATGATATACAAAAAAACAGTGTTTTAATTTTGATGTGAAAAATAACTCTGGAATTTTGCTCCTCTCTCTCTCGCTCTGGTTTGGTTTGCTGTAACGCACAGTCCCGTAAGGAGTGGAAAAAAGATCTGGGCTCATCAAAGCTGCTCCGACTGAAGGAGAGGATGGAAGGAAGCACGATAAAACTCTCTGTGTGCCTGGGGAGGTTCAGATGAGAGGAGCAGCTTCGCCACACAGTCTACCAGATAAAGTTTCCAAAAAGCCCAACTGAGACACCAAGAGTGCAGATTACTGTTGCAATATGAATTTCAATTTCCAGAGGCTCCTGGGAAACCTTCCTCTACAAAGAGTCAAAGACCTAACCATGCAAATCTTTTTAATCTTTTCAGATTTCTTTTAAAAATTAATGTTATCTTGCATTTATGTCATCAATTAAAACAGGTCTAGAAAATGAGATGAACAACTGTTATTGCACAAATCAATTACCCACAGGCGGATCCATCAATAAAAAGAAACTGTACAACTTCTACTGTGATTAATGCTGCCAGAGCCAGAGAGCCAGAGACCTCTCTCTGCAGCAGATGAGATGAGATGTCTGTGGCGAGGTGAAAGGACCCGCCAGAACAACGAGAATCGATGAAAAGGTGCAAACAAATGAACAGAACCAAATGAGAGGAGAGCTTTCAGCCCCCCTGGGGTGAGCAGACACCACGGTTGCCATGGCAGCAACTGCACACTACCATGAAACACCATCAAGCCGCTTACATATTTTGGGACGAGTGCGAGAAGTGCCTGGTCTACATGTCTATGAGGAGTGAAACAGTCCTGCTCCATTTTATTCCCACTGTTAAAACAGAAAGAGGCACTTCTGGAATGAGCAAGTTCATTCCTTTAACTTCATTATTCTGGTTCTTCAGTTTGCCGTCAGACACGCGCCACAAGCTTTCACCCTGTTAGTATATTCACACTTCACAAATAAATCTCCACTGTAGAAATGCTTCAGACAGCATGTTAAATATACAAAAAATATATTTTAAATCATTAAAAAAGCAACAAAAAGATAAATACAAAAAATAAAAAATCTCCCCAGAAACAAAAAGAGATGAGTCAACAAGGAAGATTGATTAAGACACAAAATCATGATTTCAGATTACAAGAATGATATTAAATATATTAATCTGCAAGTTTCTGAACCCACAAAGACCCCAATGCCTGGTTATGAATCAGGTGATGAATAAAGATTACTGGACAAGAGGGAGACGCAGCAGAAAATACAGGCACAGGATGGCAAAGCCAAGACATCATTCATCCGGCGAATCGTCTGTGTTGCTTTTGGTTAATTTTCATCATATAAAATAAATGCCACATGCTTTCTCTCATGCAAAGCCATGCTTTGTCGCTGCAGATGCTTCCTATTCTGCAGAACCAAACAAGAAAAGATGCTAAAATCTACTTAAAACCACTGAAGACATTGGGAGGCTGAATGTTTTTTATAAGGCAATAGAATGGTGGCAAAAAGCTTAGCCTGGTTGTAGAGCAAGTATTTAGGATGTTTAGGACAGGAGGGAAAAACTGGAAGAAATGTTTTTATCTTAACAAACAGAAGGAACTATGGAAGCTATGAATTATTAACTGTAAGGCATTTAGTGTTATATGTCATGTCAGGAATTTGAAAACAGTGCTGTTACACATTCCTGCCTAACAGTAGTCTAACAACAATGTAACAGCTAAACTCTAGTTATTTTGTCCAACTGAACAAGCTAAATCACTCCCTGTTGGTCTGTTATAGATTTCAGTCAGTGGTTTTAAGCAGAGAATGAATATTTTTTCAGCATTTTGTACCAGTATATAAGTGCAGTTTGTGTTGTGTCTCAGATGATATAATAACAGCTCACATAGCAATTAAATTCAGCACCCAGAGCTGTTTTTTTTTCTTCTAGACAAACATTTGATTCCTGTTTTCCTCCTTCTGGTCCTCATCATCTTTCCTAACCCTCTCAGAATCTCAGAGTCGGATTTAAATAAGCAGAGAACATCCATCGTCAGAGTGCACTGCTGCAAAGTGTTTGTGTGCATTTCAGCCTCATGTCACTCGAGGCCAGAGCTACAGAATAAAGGGAGTGTACATTATAGTGCCAACAGGCCTAGCTGCTCGCTGCACTAGGCCTAATCGCTAGGACTCGCAGTGGAGGGGTGAGCATGCACAATAAAAGACACAAACAACAAACTACTTCAGTTCAATGCTTGGTAGAGGGACAGACTTATTCTTCCAGAACTCCTGATTTATCAAGACTGAACCTCGTCAAAGAGGACAATAAAATCCGAAATTTGTTCTAAAGGCAGTAAAAAAAATCCTATATGACAGTCTATGCTGCCCTTCTTTTCATGTGCACATTTTTCTCCTTTCATACATTCACATTCCCAGTACACTAAAGCATTACAGTATTCTTCCTTGTTGAATTTCAGGACTCAAATGGAAGACTTGCTCAACATATTTTGCATCTTCAAACCTTGATTCCAATTCTAAACACAAGAAAAATAATAAAAAATAAAAATAAAGTCTACAAAAAAAAAATCCCCTTTTAAAAATCTCAGTCCCAGCTTTGGAGGTGGCAAACGCGATACACTGAAGGACCCCAAGGGTAAATGGAGAACCGGACACTTCCTGTGGAGTGTCTGGCTGAGCCACTGCAAGGCTCTTGGAAGAAGCACTGGGTGAGTAAAGAAGCTGAGGAGGCGGTGTTGGAGGAGGTAGAGTGGCAGATGTGGAGAGAAGGGAGAACGGTGTAGGAGAACTTTCTATCTTTAAATAATGATCTGTAGCCCTGAGGAGTTTTGCATGTTTGTAGCTTTGGAGATTAAAGATCTCAATGCATCCTCCACCTCTTCTTCCCCCACCTGCACCTCTTCATCCTTTTTGTCCTCGGCTTTCCCTCACTGGGTCTTCTCGTCGGACTCCGACGTGGGTTGTTCTCCTGGCAGTGACACGCTCCTGTGACGGTCCCACAGCTTATGGAGCTCTGTCGCCTCCGTCTCGCTGCTGCTGGTTTCATTGTTCCTTAAGTTGGCAAGGGGCCGACGCACCTTCACGCCTTTTACTGTCACAGATCCCTCGATGGCTTTGCGTAGCTAAAAGAATAAAGAAAAGTTTAGAAAAAAAGGAACAAAAAAGATAAAGATAAAAGATTTTGAATAATTTTTTGGATGACATTCATCCTAAGTTGGAAAAAGAAACCAGAAAAACACCCAGTCCAGTCCATCGGTTGGTTAAGTTCTACTGTTTGTTTCTTTGGAACACTTTTTTGTGTCAAGTTAAACTCTGATGTATTTTGATTTCACAAAAGGAAGACTTTTTATAATGTGAAGTATGTGAGACTCTATGTTTTGTACAAAGAATGTGTTTTAAATATCTTGCAAAAGCATTCAGTATAACAGGACTTTATTACATTTCTTAAAGGTGAATAACAAGTTTTACATCTGAAATTCTTGGGCTGTCTGGTTGAAATATTTTTCATTCAGTCAATACACACTTTTTGGATTAATAACTATGATTAGATTAGAAAACTGGAATCCAGAAAAAGTAAAATGCAAAATAATAATAACAAAAAAAAAAAAAAAAAAAAAAAAAAACAATTTTGGAAAAATAAAAAGGATGTCAAAGGATCCTACATGTGTTTTAAAAAACTGGAATATGTGTCCCTGAACACATTCTGGCAGGAGGACCATGGATGCTTTCAAGAAAACTCTAGTCTATGTCTGACCAAGTGTCCACATTTTTGCTTCAACTCCACTTGAAGCAAAAAAATGTTTATATTTCTTCATCATATGTGCTAAACATATTGTGATATAATAAAAATGTCTATAAAGGAGAACAGCTTTTGTCTGCTGTGGGCTTCTTGTCTGATGGCAGAACAAAGCACAAAAAAGCTTTAAATGTCAGGTTCCGGAAAGCAGTGCCTGCACTTAGCAACCACCCTCTCTCTACTTCCTGGCCAATTGAAAAAGAGTGAGGTTTTGAGGCAGGAGATATGTAAGGAGAGAGACGTGGGCAGAGGACAGACAAACAATAGATAAGAGACAGCAATTTGCAAGAGCCTTATGTCTGCCAATGTAAATCACGGGCAGAAAAGAGGAATCATTAAAGATGACTGAAAGGCCTAACTGTATGCTGGTTTAGCACAGTGACAGCTCTGCTGATGAGAAAGTTTTAAAAACAACAAACGTGCTGACAGTGCTAATGGATGTCACAGATGTGCGCAGAATTCAATTCTGCAATAATTATATAACAATTCTCACAAAAAAGGAGGAAAAAACCAGACTTACCTCCTTGAGGGAAACCACCCCGATGAGACGGCCGATGCTGGTGACGTAGGCGTGGTCGAGACCCAGCAGGGAGAAAATGGTGTGAGTCTACGGGAGATGAAAGATGGAATTAATCTTTAGAGCCAACCAGAACCTTCACAGAGACAGCTCCGTGAATGTTTCAGGCTTGAAATGGAGCTCATTTAAGGAAATGCACCACTGACTTTAATTATCCAACACTTCATTCAGAAGACACTCACTGAACATGTTCAGCTAAATTGGATACAGATACTTTGGACATCCCTGGGCCACACTTCCAAGAACATTCACACTTTAAAAAGGGGAAAAAATACTATCCTTGCAGTTCCTAATTAGCCAAAGCTAATTACTATCACAGTTGGAAAATTGGATGTGTTTAAACTGCACATCAAAAAGTTTTTTTTTTTATCTTAACTATGTAACAATAATGAACCAAATTTTGTAGCAAAGCATCTTCATTAGCGCAGTAGGCAACACAAGAGGTTTAACAGCCACATAAAAGCTGCAACTGTATGTGGAGATGCCAAATAGCTAGAAGCTAAAAATGGAAAGCTGAACAGAGGAACCAACACACGTGTTGAAGTGAGATAAAAGTGAAATCTTGTGGTTCATTATCAGCCTGTTTTAAAACTTATGGAATAATCAAGACACTTGACAATTCAGCTGCTGAGATGCTAATTATTAAATTTTTGTTATTTAATAACAAACATTAAATTTAAGAAATTTAAGAAAAGCTGTCATGATGTGGATTTCCATGCTAACCAGGCAAGAACATCTTACCCGTTTTGATAAATGAGGGATGCCCCGAAATAAAACTTTGGCTCGATATTAACATCCAATATTAAAATTGCCATTAAGGCAGATAACTGATTGTACTACAGTGGCCACACTGTAAATGCACAGCAAATGCCTTATTGCTGAAATGTGCTATAAATAAACTTGATTGGTTGATTTGAAAACAAGTTGGAAACAAGTTAATTATGCAAAGTCCAAAAACACACAAAAAAGAAACAAATGAAACAAACGCTGCAAACAGAAATCCCTGCATTCGCAGAAAACTAAAGCAAAAACATATAAGTAACAGAACAAATGCAAATGAAGGACACTGCAATTATAAACAACACGCTGGATCCATACAGAGCTGCCTAATGGAATCAACCTGACATAAAAAGTTACTTAGCCTTTCTATTTCAGCTGGCTGCTCTGTGATTTTTTTCAGATGAACTGCTGTTATTTTATAGTGCCACTGGTGAGGCTGTGAGATGAGCAAACTGTTACTTTCAGTCAAATGGTTATCACAGCAATAAATACCTTGAAATGGCAGTTATGTAAGGCTGGCAACAAGCTGATGTACTTGTTTGATAAAAACCTAAATCTAAAAACACAACAAAAGGGATAGAGATTTATCAGCAACACTGCAAGATGTTTCCATCCTGCTAAAAAAATAACCGAGCCATTGCTTGAACCTAATTATTAAAAAATAAAAAAAGAATATTTAAACTTCTTAAAGAACTAATGTCTATGATTTTATTAACAAAAGATAAGCTTCAGAAAAAATTACAGAAGGATGAGTTCGTACGACTGCTTCAAGTGCATAATAGCTTTTCTTTTTACCCTGTGTTTGTTTGTTTCTCTGTAATTGTAAAAGTTGAGTATTAAGTGGTTGAACTTTAAGATGTATGCCAATAATGAGACTATAATAATGAGCAGAATGTCTAACTTTAACCTTTAATTTAATTCATAGCTCAAAAATCAAAACAGCAGTAATAAAACAGATAATGGGGATTATTATTATTTTGTGTGTGTGATTAGATTTGTTTGTGTTATTTAACACTACTGCCATATTGTTATGCAGTCATGGTCAAATGTTAAACATTAGGAAATATATCCAATAAAACAACTCTTTTATTCTTGTTTTTCTGCTTTAATCAAAAGCAGTAACATGGCGGTATGTCTACTCAAGGTTATCATACTTATGCTTATCTCCCCATTGACAAGTGAACAAATGTTCTCGGTGCGTTAGGAGCTGTGGAGTTTCTTGCTCAGTTATCAATAATGTAAATTTTATAATCTTTTAACATGTCTGCAGTCAGTTTTGCATTCAGACATGGAGCTCCATCATGCTCAACATTCTGATCCCACTCTCAGATCAGCCAGTGTTCTTGGGCTGATCTGAGACCTGTGAGTGAGCGTCCACATGTTTGAGTTCATCTATCCTCAAGAAAGAATAGACACTGCATCAGATTTAACCAGCGACTAATTATCATCTCAAGAGTGTAAGGCAGACAGACATATGTCTTAATGACAGGATGTCAGATACACTGTATCATGTTCTTCACTGTTGCTGTTCACCTTTTACTTGTTGGGTTTTTTATGATGCGTCACACACTGAGAAGGGAAAGTCATCAGAGGAAGTAACTTTGCCCCAAACCTCTTCTGTCTATCTTTGTACTTTCTGCAGAATTGAGTCTGTTCTTGAAGTATTTTTTTTAAACAAAATGGTTTCTTTCTCGACACTTTTTGTCACACATTTGCTTTATTATGCAGATGTACTTAAGTTCACCTGTTATAATGTTGAGCAAGCTCTTTACTGGTTACAGGACTTCCTAGCAAGAGATGATGGACAACCTTGGATTTCCGGAAGCCTCCTTTGCTGTCATTTAACTTCTCACCATGAAGTTATTTCAAGTGCAATATTCTTGGAAGCATTTTTCCGCATGTGGCTATGATAACACTAAGTGATGATCATTGCATGCTTTCCTTTGAAGTGAACCATTGTTAATGAATTCAAGCACTTGTACTTTTACAGCAATCCATTTGCTAATTAGAAGAATCAAATAATTTTAGATACTCTTGTGATATAACAAAGGAAAAAATGCTTTATGACATATATTTTAGGCAAAAAAAAAAATTCACATCGAACTAATTAATATGCATTTGACTAGCATAGTCAAATCCATAGATTAAAAACTATGTGTACCGTCTGCAGAAAAACTGTTGCCACCAAGTTGGAAGCCTGATAAGTAGGTAGCCTGGTTGAAGTCCAACCAGAGAAATTGAATTTAATGGGAAAAATCCCAGACAGAGAACTGAAGGGCGATGAATTGTGGTGGAATTCCCAGGCTGCTAGGTAGACAATTAAAACCTATTAAAAGGTTAAAAATACAAATATACTTTATCTCTACTTCATCCTTTAGCCTGATTATAGTATTTATCATTTCCGGTTGGGATCGACAAAGTGATTTCACACTGGTATAGGGAGAATTTGTGCAGGCAGAGAAAAATAAAATGACTGAATCTTGAACTACTTTTCTGCTAGATAAGATGTTTTTTATTTCTGAAGCAAGCTGCACTTGAGTTTTGGGAGACTTTCCCCATCTGGGATATCTGGAATTGATTCCACAGAGCACAGAAAATAAAGGCTGTGCCAAGAAAAAGATTGTTGAGTGTTTTTGAGGCCACGGTAAGCTGAAATGTAATTTGTCAAATAGGTCTCCCAGAGGAGAATGCAGCAGCTTCACTGAGGTTGCCAGCATCTCTTTAGATTGAGGTGCATTGATTGAGGCCATTGCACAGGCTTTTTCACAATCAACTGATCAGCAGTTGATTGTGAAACTAATTATCAGCAACTAGAAATCCCAGTAGCTTTAAACCTGTGTTTATATTTATGCCACAGTCCTTTGGCACACAAACATAGAACGAATTCCACCAACTATCACCAATGAATAAATGAGTCAATCATCAGTGCCTTTGTATTTTCTTCTAAAAGTAATGGCACTGTTTTGTTGAGGGAGATTGTGGGTGATGTTGACTTTTTGTAGGATGCAGTGGAAAGAGGGAAGTAAGATGGATTGGCGCAGGATCCCTGGCTCTTAAATGTTTAAAGAGTTTTTATAAAGAGCCCCGAAGACTTTGGAGAGCCACGATAGCATTATAGATGGGAGACATTAGGTGCTGCGATGGCTGCTGGCAAGTCAAAGCAACTCTATGCAGGTATACTCTGTATGAAGTATTTCAACCCACACTGTTGACTGAGCCTCCTCAGGGCTGCAGAAATGTGAAGCAGCAAAGGAGGTAAAGAAGAATGAAGCTCCTTTCTTTCACTCGGCAGGTAATGAACTTTAACTTCAATTGTCCTTTTCTACTGTTTATGAGATGTTTACGTTGGTAACATGTGACTATACCATAATGTGAACCATTTAATTGAAGCATCTGCTGTATGTGTAGGTTTTTTTGGTAAACTTTTATTCATGTCATCAGATCCTTAGTGTACCAGATGAAGAAAGGAATTCCCACAGCATGATGCTGCCACCACCAAAATACTTGACAGTATGGTGTGTCCAGGATGATTGTGCAGTTCTAGTTTTCGACCACCCAATTTGACTCAAAGAAAAAGATTGGTCTCATCTGATCAGAACGCTCAAGAGTGTCAAAATCCAAAGCACCCCACACTTTTCAGATTTTCCCTTCACCTCACACCAATGTGCTACTTTATGTTGGTCTACCTTAAAACCTCAGCATTGATGTTTATAATATCAATGCTGAGTTTTCGCCCTTGACTGTGCAAAAACAGTCAGGGGTTGTGAATACTGTAAAGCTTCAAGGCTTTGTGCAGCTCAGAATGGCGACTGGTTAATGCCTCTAAACACTGAGAAACACATCCATCAGGAAGGATGAACTTTTGTGCACAAAGAAGGTAAACAGCGTCTGGAGCTCTGATCAGACCTTATGCAGCAAAGTGCGCTCCACCAGTTGAAAAGGGGCGGGGTCAATCTTGCAGTTGTTGAAGTCGACCTGCTCATCAAGCTGCTTCTCCTCCCACTCTGCAATCTGTAAATCACACAGATTTGAAGGATCAGAGACGATCAGAAAATACTTAACAAGACAGAAGAACGACAAAAACAGTGAAGTGCTTTGCAGTAGTGTCAGTGGTCAATACACATCGATTAATGGGATTTTAAACATTATTCTGTTAAAAAAAAAAACAAAAAAAAAAAAACTAACTCCCACATTTAGAGTCTGTCTTTATTGGCTCTAAATGTGCCATTAAAGACAGGCACATTGTGGTTAGGCTGTGAAAAAAAGTGTGTTTAGAAAAACTAACAGATTAAGTCTTTATGACTAATATCAGCCTGTGATCAGCTGACAAAAGCATCACATTTTCCAAACCACTATTTGACAAATCAGATCCATTTAGTGGCGCAGATGCAGCGCTGAGTGATTATAAATCAAAGGCAACCTACACTGCAATGCTGCTCAGCACCAGAGGCAAACAAAGAGACAAAGACAGAAGCGGTGACATGGCAGATTTATGAAAGGTGAACGTTACTGGAGTGAACGAAGGGAAGAAAAAAAAGGGCGAGGAATATGTTTCTGACAGAAAGGAAATGAGAGGTTCTGTTGATGGATGAATTATGAATGATGTCATATCCAAAAATATACGACTCCAGGGTAAGTGACCCATCTGGGCATATTGAAAAAAGTGAAGGGCCAAGGTTTGTCAGACTGTGATGACATCAAGCGTCATCAGAGTTTTTAGTTAGACAAACATACTGTAGGCTTCGGAATGAGAACAGATTGAATGAAAAGACTTGAAAGAAGTTCCTCTGTGTGACACCAGCATCAACCCTAACCCTCAAAATCAGCATCTACAAAATAATAACTAAAAATCATATAATTTCAACAACCACTTTCTTCAAAAGCTTCATGTATGCTTGTTTGGAAAAGTTGAACACTCTTTAGTCATAAAAAAAACATATTTAAACTGCAATATTTGTTACTATCAAATATAGCTCAGACACAAAAATTTTAAAATAATCAAATCTGACTCAGATAAATCAAGACAAAAGAGATTCACAGTTAAATATTAATGAAATCTTCACTCCGTTTACAAAAATACAAATGAGACATTAAGGTCATCACAAAACAAAGAGAATCATAGAATCCACAGTAGATGGGCTAGTCAACCTGAATAACTGAAGACCAGTTAGAGTTCCTGTGATTTGCAAAACCTTTGCATTATTTAAAAAAATAAATAAAAGGTGATAATTAGTTTTCTCAAAAACATACCTCCATCCTATTTTGTCTCATAGTTGAGAACCCAATGTAGTATATCATTATGTGCACCGGATGCATTGCTACATCTCCATTTGGTAAGCATTTCAATAATAATTAAAAAAATACTCATAAAAAAGCAAGACTTAGAAAATCATTTTCCCCTAAAAATCTTCCATTCTTCTAAGTGTTCATTTTCTCCAAATTATCAAATAAAATCCTCCACTTACTTTTCTATGAACAGAGTTCTCATTTGTAGAACAGTACACATCATGCCTGGCAGTTGATTCATCACAACCTTGAAATTTAACTCCTCTTTCATTATTGAAGCTTCAGTCAGAGATAGAAAGGTAGTAACCGTAACATCCATGATTTCCCTCATGGTCGTGTCTGGAGGGTGCCCCTACAACCGCTGTGCTCCAATTTCCTAAATGGACTGCTCAATTCTTCAAACACTGACTCAGATTACCTTAAATACATCATCAGGGACATTTTTAAGAGCTGTCAAGATGTATAATATTGTATTGTTCTGCCAGAGACCTCCTATTAGTTGGGAAGTTTGTGCCACAAAACAAACATTGTGTTCCCAACTGTGGGTCTTACCTCATTAAGTGTCATGTTGTCTTCCACATCTCCATCGTCCTGTAGATGAGAAGCAATAGAAAAGCAGTCAGTAACAAAAAATTTGGTGATTTCATTTCTTAGCTAAAAACTGTTAAAACATGAAGAACCAAGAATATCAGAAACACATAGTACATAAATGAAGGAAAGTTCTGGTTTCTGGGTTATTTTATTAAATATTCCTCATTTCTATTCATATCCTCCACAGCTGTGAACAGAAGGCAGAGACACATGGAGAACATCAAGAATGTTATACTGCACCAAGGTCTTGTGACAAATGGACAGAAATGGAACGAGAGACTAAAAGAGTGACAAGATCACATTTAATAAGTGTGCAAAATTTGATATATGAGATGTCATAGTAGATGATCATTATGAAGAAGGAACTGAGGTAAGTTTCAATAGTAAGACCGATATTGTTTGACAAGTTTGAGTCGAATGAGCAAACACACACTTTGCAGACACCCAAATTAAAACCCGCAGAGATCTGGGTGAGGAGAATGTTAATGTAAAGTGTGAATTCATGCCTTACATTATGACAAATTAGCATCAAAGTAAAGATGAGTTAAAATAAATAAATAAATAAGTCAGATAATCTATCCTATATTGCAGAAACAATTTCAAACTGAAAACTAAAATCCAGCCATAATTATATACATTATATGAAATGGGGAGAAACATTCTAAGCTTTATTTCCTTTAGCATTTCACAAGGTTGAAATATTCAGAGAGATTGGTAATTCGGGGTTGAAGGCAGACAGCTTTGATTTGTTTTAATGAGGTTTTTACAACATCAATCCAAAACATCTCAATAAATAAAGCGATATATGGATGTTGTGAGGTCTTGGTGACCCCATGCTTTGCTGCAGAGTTTTTTCATCCTACTCACTCTCTGTGGGGACGAGATTAATGAGTCCTCGTCCAGCTCAGTGTCCAGTGGCCAGAAGAACTGTGTGTTACATGATAGTCATACCCCCTGGGTAAAGAAGTGATGGATTGCTAATTATAAGTTCTTGAATCTTATAAATAACTGAATACAATAATGCATAATTTATTTTTCATCATCTTTAACAAATTGTTAAGGATACCAACAATTGTCCCTTTGGGAATTTTGAAAAGTCCCATCTTGACTCAATATTTTTCTCCATATTGAGAACATGTTCTCAAAATGAAAGTTGGATTTTTCTGAATTTGTTTCATTGTGTGATCACACTGCTACACTGCTGGCTTTTTACACCACAGGGCTTGTATAAATGGGCTTGTATGAGCAGTGGGTTGTAAAGTGAAAAGTCATTTACTCATGTACTTGCATGCAGGTATTTACATTAACAAGACTGAATTTAGAAAAAAACATATGTGTACCAGAGCAACAGAGAGATGAAGGGCGACCCAAGGGATGATGGGAGCTCTGAGTTTATTTATTCTCATTGCTGCCGAAGCTGACCTGTCACTAACTCCTAGCAACTGTCGCTGCAGGGCATCAGGAGGTGCCCTACTGTAGCATAATGCAAACAGAGGTCAGACGTGCCTGGAGTTTATGAGACTAAACCATACACTCAAACACCTACTGGCACTTTATCTGAGATAACTGATAACACTCATCCAATTTCAAAAACAGGAATGATCAAAACTGCATTGTCTAGTCGTGGTTATGCCACAGTAGGGGTAAACTGGTAAACATACTGCAGGAATGTTTACCGGCTGTTGTTACTTTGTGTCAGACAGATCGATACAGGTCTCAGTTTTTGAGCAGCACACGTTCTGTCTTTGTATTAAAACTTGCATGTAGTAAATAAAAAATTCAACTGCCCAAAAGCAAAGAAAAAATTCTCTTTGTAAGTTTTCTAAAATTAGTTTGTGCAAAGCAGTCATCATGACATCATGTACATTAATTTTTTTTCGCTAAGAAATTCACCCTCATCTCTTAGTTTTCTGAAATTACACAAGAATGCCATCCTGTTCCCTGCATACTCTTCTTATCAGATGCCTGAAGGACATTTTTGATGGAGTCGGTGTCTTTGTTACACTGCTTAGAATTTGCTTCCATTAAGATCCACTCAGGCACCAGTAACGTTTGACTTCAATGACCCGAGTCGCACAAAGTGGAACTAAGCAGAAATACAAACATGAACTTAAATCAAATCAATCAAGCATTTTATTGTGTGCCAGACTGATAATAAAATAAGATGTTTCTCTGCAATCGCCAACACAAACTAGATAATACAAAAATAAGTGAAAAAAATATCAGCAGATCCTGCAACCTTGCTGAAACAGAAATCTGCTATAAAACTCCACTCACCATCCCCTGCAGGGTATTTATTTTCTGCCATGTTGCAGCTAAAGTACTCGTATCCTTACACTCCTGAGCTTAAGTCATGATAGTAGTTTTTTCATTCATCTGGGAGGTTTCTGCGCTGCATCCTCTGGGTCAGGAAGATCAACAAAAAAGTAGTGCAAAGCTACTTTAGTTGCAATGCTCCGGTTTATTCTCCACAAACAGCTCGCTTGGTTTGATAGGAAACACTGTCTGTTAAACTTTACACAATAAATAGAAAGCATAGAACAAGCTTTTTCACTTTCTTAGTCAGTAAACTTCCACTTTGCAAACATTTGCATTCTAATTAGGCCAAATGTGAGGTTATAAACAGCTGCTGTAATCAGTTTTAGTGAGCCAAGATCATCAGTTTTTATTTCTATGCAGACTAAACAAAACAAATGGCAGCAGAGTTGTAAAGTAGAGCAAGAAAGAAGCCTGGACTCACTTTTGAAGTTGATGAAGCCAGATGCAAAAATATGGAGATGTATATCATCAAACGTAGGGGTTGAAGGCTAGAGAGCTTGTAGGGACTTTGTTTATTGTGTCTCTGTTTCAGAGATAATTGTTGAGATCTCAAGTTATTTTCCATTATTTGAGAATCCAATGTTGGATGAACATGTCAAACCAGTTTTGGAATCCCACATTCTCCATTTTAATAAAATTATGTCGACTCATTTCTACAATTTGTTTATTTGAGCCACTGGTTTCATTTGTTTTTATTTTACAGAAACAGTAAAAAAATTAACCAACACAACTGTAGTTGTTTTTACAGCCCCTTAGGAGAGTACTCAGTCTTCTGATGGCAATTTTTGACACAAATATTTCTCAATAACTTGCATGAACTCAACAAAAAGATGGATCCAGAGAAAGATGGAAATTGTCAGGAAAAACAAAAATGAACAAAAAGGAAAAATACAAGCCCACAAGCGATTATAAATAAAGCACGAGAGAAGTAAGAATGGGAGAAGAATAATGAGGAAAAAACAGCTAGGAAAGAAACATCAATCTGTGCAACAGGCTCCTGATGTAATTTGCCCTGCATTAATATTTCACAGTCACAATAGAACAATGAAGGGAAAGCAGGCGCTGTGGGAAAGATGACAGAGCAACAAAAAACTGGTCTCAAAAAAGTCGTCAAGTATGACAAAGATGTGTGATGGGGAGCACAAATCAAGGAATCGCAGAAGAACTGAGAATAGAGCTGCTGAAGGGTCAGAGCTGAATCCATAAGTTCATCTACCATCTGCTGCAGGGATGCAAAACCTCAAATGATTCCACAAGCAGGTCTTTCTGAAAGACATAAATGACTAACATGCTCCTTGGTTCCCTTACCAACCAAAAAGATTCCTTGGTCTAACTCCTGCTCCATCTGCCTAAGCACAGACTGGGCGGTGAGCTTCACAAGTGCACCCTTCAATCAATGATTAAAATCATAACTGGCAGCAGCAGATGAAGCAGATTGACTGCTGTCCGTCAATTAATAATAAACATTATGAATAAATATTCACAAAATTGAAAATCTGACGTAAATTTGCCTCCCAAGGATATTGTAATTGCTGTGTTTAAATTTTTTTTTAATATAGTCAGAACATTTCAAATTAAAGCTAATCTTTCCAGTCTGTCAATGAACTCCAACCCTTGGTGTTTGGAAGTTGTGCGAATTGGTGACCTTGTGCTACTCTGGCTTTAACCAAATATTGTGGCATGCTGTCATTAGGGGCTGTAAATGATGGTGATTGTTCTCTTGACTGTAACCAAACCCCAAGTGCCACTGCAAAACCACAACAGTAGGGAACAAGCTGCCAGAGTAGAAGTGGACAAAAAACCCAACACAAACACCATCGATTTCAGAGAAATTTGTTTTTCAAAATATACAAGTTGAAGTCATAAAGAAAGATCCAAAGCTTTAAATAGCAGTTTCAGAGGTTTTAAAATGGTAAACTTTGTATCTAAATTCAGCTTATTTACAGAGTAAATCTTACCGCCAGGCATTTGAGTTTTGGGCTATGGGGAAACTCACAGTTGTTTAACATACCGGCTTTGTTTGGCTATTCACAAGGTTTTGTTATTGGCTTCAGCCAATAAGTTACACTTTTGAAAGAAACTACCACAACAAGATCTATAACTTAGATGATAAATGTTACAAGAGACGAAAAAGGAATTCTTCACTTGGGACATTTTCTGCAGAGTTCATGTACAATATGCAAATGGATTCTTTAGCAGCAGAAAGAGTGACAGGACACAAGCTGAACACAAGTTTACTATGATAAATCTAAAATCAAGAAACGTTAGAGGAAATTGAGAAAAGTCTAAATACAGGACATCATTGAAACAAAAGTGATTAAAGAATGGGGACTTGTCAAAAATGTAAAACCTGGAAATAAATGTATTGGCGACGACAGCCAAATTTGCAGTTGCGTAACTCCTAACTACTTTGAGCTGTCTGAAAAGTTCTAACAGTTTCTTGAAAGGGGAGACATTTCACTTTCCAGCCATTATCAGGTTATTATGCTCATTTCACTCCAGTAGTAGGAGAAAGTGAAATTAATTCGGAAGGGCACTCTTAATAGAGGGTAAATGATACAAATTACTACCAGATATCCAAAGTTCCAGTTGTTATAGACAAATGCGCAAATGTATTTGCTCACAGGACATTTAAAGAACTTCGTACAATAAAAATATGCAAAAATATTCAGGCGAAAATTAAAACTCAAATAGTTAATATGAAATTAGAGAAAATTCATATAATAGGTTCCTTTTTAGTGAGTTTGATACGAGTACAAATGACTTACAGATGTCCGATGCCCTCATGGAACAAACAAGCTTCACTAAGTATGTAATTTTCTAAAAAGTACCTCAACATGTTCTGGTGAATCAATACTGAGATTCCAATTTCGCTAAAACAGAGTAACTTGGCAGTGATGCCAGTTGCAGGCTTATTCATTTGTGACCTTAAGTTCTCTTTTCCTAGTGATATGACATCTATTTTTTTTTTTTTACTGCAGGGAGTTATTACTGATTATAACTTAAAATAACCTCACTCTAAAATATCTAAAGTAATCCTTAAAGGTAGATCTAATTTAGGCTGTGTGGTCATACAACGTTAAAAAATATGTTTATGGAGCAGAACTGGATATGGTTCTGGACTCAAACAGCTTGATGAGATGCATGGCTGAAGCACACAATAGTGTCAGTGGTTTCCCTTTTCCTGTCAACAAAACTGATTAGTGTCGTCATTTATAAGCAGCATACTTTGGTTTTACACACACCTACACACACTTACCCTGAGGCGATGCATGAGTAATGACATGACATCCCTGTGCTGCAGAATGATTAAAATTTTGTACAGACTTCAATAATTGGGCTGATGGAGCCCTTTCAGTGTTTCAAGTCCAAATCAATAATACTTCTAATAGAGTTACACTAACATTATCTGAACTGTAATTCTGTCAGGAGAAGGATGTAATCTTTTATTATGATCAAGTCATTTTCAAGAAAAAAAGTTTCTTAAAAATGTAATTGGGAGTACTGGAGAATTAGCTACGTATTTTCTGATGTATGGATCATTATTTATTTTTTTGAACAAATACATTCATATTTTTAAAAAGCACTAACAAGACAAAACTTTGATGTAGTAAAACAATCCATTTGCAGGATAAAATAAAGCGCGGCAGGACACAAGGCTGAAACAAAATGAAAGATTTTAAATGGAAGCCACTTAAGATTGTGTGTGAGAGTTTTCTGACTATGTGTGTGTGAGAGAGTGGGAGGTACTGTACTGTAAAGTGTGAAGGGCTGTATGTGAGAGATAGGATAGGACTGTGTGGGTGCACTGGTTCTGTGAACGGCAGGATGTGAGTCACTGTGTGTGCGTGCGTGCGCGTGCGTGTGTGTGTGTGTGTGTGTTGAGTCTGTGCCCCTGTTGATTGGTTGCATTCAAGGACATGGTTCTCTCACCTCCAGAGCTTCTACATCTGGACTGGAGCAGAACAGGTTCTTCAATGCGATGCCGGAATGGTCCTGTGGGCCTACAAGGGGAAAATAGAAACATTCACAATCATTGCTTGAGATTGCTTGATCAGTAGATAAGAATTCAAACTGCTAATGTTCCCATTACTTTAATTGTTCTGATAATAGTCTGCACTAAATCTCTCCAAAGTTTTCTTCCAAGCTGTGACCTAAATTGACCTAAAGGTGTTCCCAAACAAACTGAGAGACATAATGTCTCCAGCTGGTCCCATGTCAGTCAAAGCCTTTCTCCCATTTTGGCATGTTTGAAGCACCTTTCCAAGAATGTGACAGAATAGTTTCTCTTTATTGAGAGTCTCCTAGACTGCTGAGCTCCTCTCCCTCCTTTGAAGAAAAGCTTAAATACTTCATCATCAGATTTGGCTCAGCTTTTGCCTGATGAAGGTATAGAAAAACATGAGTGATATACATCTTTGGCTTTACAACACTATTTGGAGGAACAACAAAAATACTTGCTTGTTTGTGTTTACAAAGTGAGAGATTTAGCACCAAAAGGAAGAAGGTTCCGAAGCCAACTTCAGCATTCAGTAATTAAAAACTTTTTCAGGCTTCTTAGACAGTGTTAGCATGTTTGATGAGAGGTCTTAAGTCACAAAGAGCCAACTGATTGCTGTACCAGAGAATCCAACCCATTTTGCCAGTCGCCTTCATAAGAAAGTCAACAGAACCAGCACGGTGGTTCTTCCACAGACTGTATTTATGTCACTGAACACTTTGACAAGGGCATTCTCAGTACTGTGGTGAGCAGAGAACCCAAGCTGAAAGAAAAACATGGGTTTGTCATTGCTGAACTATTTAAGAGTTTGAAATACAGCTTTTTCAATAATTTTGTTGATGAATGGAAGGTTTAAAATTGATCTGTGATTCTGCAGTAGGAATTTCTCCAGTTTGTTACCTTTTTATCAGTGGTTTGATAACTTATGTTTTTAAAGCCTGGGGGAAAACACCTGATTAGAGGGACGAGTTTACCATTTGAATCACGGCAGATGCAATGACAGGCAGTACTTTCTTAAGGAAAGCTCTGGGTAGGAGGAGCTTAGTTGATGTTTTATTATATCTAGGTTTTTGTGGCTGAGTTGGTGAAATTAAGTCATTTTCTCTGCATTTATAATTTTTTGGAATAGGGATAGAAGTGAAATTGATGATAATATGCAAATTAACCCTCTATTTCTATATTTTCTCTGTAAGGAAGTTGGCAAAGTCACTGCAGGCTCATATAGAGTTCAGTCACAGGAGGGTTTGTCAACCTATCAACTCTAGCAAATAAGGCACAAGGATTGTTGATGTTTTTGCTATTGATTTTTGAAAAGTATTCCTCCTTTGCATGTTTCAAGGTTGAATAAGTCTCTTTTTACAAATTTGATAGTGAACCTAGAGTAGTGCTTAAGCCACTTATGTTCAGCCACTCACAAGTCTTCAAGTATTACTTGGATGTAAAAATTACCATTACCTTAGTTGTTACTTACTTGTGGGAAGCTTAGTGGGTCTTTCCACAACAGATGGTCTTTTCAATGCAGGTTTCAGAGGCTTCTGACTAGCTGGACAAGTTGGACTGAAGGTGGACTCCTCAGTAGAAATCTAAGTACAAACACAAAGATGAAATCTAAGCCATCTAATCTTCCCTTAACGCTCCATCACTCTCACCAACATCGAACACATTAGATAAATAAATGTGCTATCAGCAGAGTGAGGAGATGGAAACAAATCAAGGGAGTGAAGGAGGCAAGACAAAAAAAAAAAAAATAGGAAAGCATGCAGAGCCAGTGGGAGGAATAAAGTTCAGAGGCTGAATGTGAGGTTGGCTTTGATTTAAAATTTCATGACTGCAGTGGGTTTTCTTTCAGCCATTTTCATGACCTGAAGACATTTTTGCTTAGCTATGTTATTGATGCTCAGAAAGTGGGGAAAACATCTAGTTTCAGCCATAAAGAAGTGATTGCTTACGTGAATAAAAGTTATAATATTCATTGTTAATAATATCTTTAAAGTTTCCAGTTCCATTATATAAGGTAGTTACACTTGTGTGTCTGTATCCCTCTAACTGAATGCATTATTCAACAAAATCTTCTGAGAGTTTCACTAAAAGACAGAAGTGTTTCTCTGATTAGCTGCATTACGTGGGTAATATTGGTGGGACACCAAGCGTTGCAGAGTAAACAAACTTCTTATTGCTGAATCCATTAGGACCAGAGTTGCAACCCTGAAAGCCTTTATTCTTTGTCTCTAGGTGAATGCTTACATCATAAGTAGTTTGTTGCCTTAAAAATTGCATTTTCTCATTTTTTTCTAGAATAAATAAGCAAACTCATAATTCTAAGCTTTTTGGCTTTACATGTTTTACTTTCAATTTCAATTTCAAAGCGATTGAAACTACTGAGAGATGAGAAATAATATGGTTTTCTTTAACCATCATCTTGCAATTAGTTCAATCACATTTCACATTAATGTTAACCAACTTTTCTGTCATGCTGAATAAAAGTGTCCTCACAGCATGTTTCACATTGTGGGGTAACACTGTTTTCAGGGATGATGTGCAGTTCTAATTTTCCTATGTTGCATATCATTTTGTAGGACCAAAATATTTAATTTCTGTTTCATCTGAGTGGGGCATCTTTCTCAAAGGTTTGCTAAATATTTTGCAGAGCTTGTGGCAAACTCTAAATGACCTGGCTTGTTTCAGCAATTATTTTTTACATGTCTCTCTTCCATAGATTTGTAGAATATAACTAAAAACTGTCCTGTCAATAGACTTCTGCGTCTTCAAGAGCTTCCATGGACTTTTAAACTTTTTGTAATTACTAATGCTCTCTTTGTCTGGCCTGCTAGTTTAAAAATATAAAACAAGATGTTTTCAGCTCAACTTTCTACTGTGTTTTTGGTCTTTATGAGATCTGCTTTCTGACCTTCTCTAACAAACATTTCAAGGTTACATTGAAGAACTGGGTTTATATTGTCACAAACTTAATGGTGTCTATTTAGTAATCAGGTGGCTTCTGTGGGGATTGGATTTTAGTTATGGACATCAAAGTAAAGCTCTTCACATTTGCATCTGTAAACTATTTTTACTAATGTGTTATTTTGTGTTGTTAAAATTTATGGGTGTAACTTGACACAACCAGCAATGAAGTATTTATTAGATGCACTGAATACGTAATGAAGATATTGCCCTCTAAAAATCAACTCTGCACCTCTTTGTTAGTGAAACAAAAAAGAAATATGAAATGGTTTCACAGAGAAAATAGTACAAATTATTAAATTGATTGATAAATTCTCTACACATTGTCTTTAGATGTATTCCACTAGTCAATAAGGACCTCTGACCTGCAAATGGACCTCCTGGCTGGCCTGCTGGTGCCCATCCTCACTATCGTTGTTCGACACATCAGACAGCCGTTTTTTCTCTGCTGCGGCCCGTTCCCTGATGTACTTCATGCGTCTGCTGCGACTGAGCTGCTGGGAGAGCAGTAACTGCAGCTGGGCACGCTCTATGGAGCCCAACAGGATCATTGACTCTGGGTTAGGAGACAAAGATGCATGGCGTGAGAGAAAGAGTGATACAAAAACCAAGGAGGATAAAAAAAAAAGGATAAGGAGGTTTATTAGCGGAGCACAACAAAAGGAAAAGAAAATGCACAGGAGGAAAAACAGAGATGGTAGAAAGTGAATTCGGGAAAATCTGCAAACAGAGGGTTGTGACTTCCAAACAAACAAACATACTGCAAAGAAGTCTGCATAGTTGCAAAACAAGTGCCCAGAAGGCAGCAAATATCCAATAATTAGTGTGCATGTGCTGCCGGCTTTAAGTAACTGCCTTTGTGACTGTGCGTGCAGATTAGGTGTTTGGCTAAATGCTGCAGCTAATTGTTCCTGTACCACTGTATAATTGAAACAGTGTTGAAATACCCAATTTGCACTTTAATGAGGTGACTAAGGCCATCAGCAAGCTGTGCCCAGGCAGGTTTTTTCTATCAATTAGTCACTTTGATGAGGACAGCACTGGGATTGCAGAAATTTTGAATTTAATGCCAGCTGGAGGGCACACCAGAAATACAAAATTGGCAACACCGAACAAAGATACCCCAGACGTTAGAGCCCTCGAATTACGGATTCTGATTTGCAAAGCCTTTTAAAGATGTTATTTAGCCCCTTAAAAACAGATGTGTCCTGAGTGCTAATGTGTGGAACAAAGGCTGAAGAGTTTGGAGCTGTAGGTAACTAACAGGCTAATTAAGTACAAAAACATAAACCTACCAGGAACAGAAGTGGCAGTTTTGGTATCATTTTTTCCACGACTTTCTCATAAAAGCTTGGTCAAATATTGTTGCACTGCAACGTAATAGTCATTCATATAATATAATCTTACTTTCTAATAGTACAAGAATATTAATCTTATTAATAATGAAGCAAATCATGTCTAAATATTTTTCAGTAAATAACAGAATGTTTTTTTCCTAAACTAAGATTCTCATATTATTTGTAGATTGCCTATAAAAAGTATTCACTCCTTATGAAAACTTAATCAATGATGATGAGCAAAACCCTCAATGGGGTGAATAGTGAATATTTTTACAGACACTTTGATTACTTTAAACTCCAAGAACTGACATATTTGTGTATTTTGGTATTGGATTTACCAATTAATAAATATGTAGCAGCATGGGTGCACTAAATCCCAACATGTTAACGGTAAAATAGAGATTTTGAATTGTTTTCATTTCATTTGTTTCTACCAAAGGAAAATATGAGCAGAGAAATTAGATGAGGGACCAAACGGATTCTTGTATGGAGATAAACTACCATCAGCTAAAAATTACCCTCACTGTGTCTTTCAGTGGTTTCACAAGACACCAGAAACAGGTTATTTACACATAACTCTGTGTTTTGCAGGGATGTGTAGATTTTTTTAAACTCACCAGCAGATTCCACTAAAGCCAGAGTCTTGATCTGTCCCGACATCAGGACGTTGTGTAGGTCTCGGTAGCAGCAGTTGAGTGCGATGTATCGCACATCTCGCACCATGATGTCCTCCACACGGATGTTGTATTTCCTGAGATAAGCATGGAAGGAAAGAAGAGTAAATGAAATGTACAAGGTGAAAAAAAGAAGTGTCTATTTTTTCATTGAGATGAGGCCAAAGGAAGAAGACAGCTGGAACTTTATTCTATTCATTGTCTGAAAATGCATCAACACTCATGTTTAAAAATTTATACTACACAAGCGCCGTAATATTTCTAAGTTATTGCCCTAGCAAATATGACGACTGCACAGTCTTTCAGCTGACTGGCCAACACAATAAAAAGTCACAGTGTCAACACATCTTTCGGTTGTTACCACAATCGCTGTGTGTACTTCAGGTGAGGTTGGGTGACACTGTGCGAGCACTTCTCAGCTCAGCAGAATCACACGCCTCAGTACACCAGTTAGATACACTCAGATTTCTCTTCCTGCTGAAGCCGGCCAAGAACTGCAAACACAACAGCCGTCGCTTAATGGCTTCCGCTGCCAAGACCATCAGCCGTGCCAAGACACGGACTGCGGCCAAACTTCCACTTTTTCAACCAGTGACAACTCGCTGTGCTGACCTTTCCTCAGATGTAAAAAAAAAACAAAATTGATGGCCATGCTTTCCAAGCTCCAATTCAATACATATAATGTACAACTCTAGTCCAAGAGGCCTCTTAGGAAGATGAAGGAAACCTATCAATTACCTTATGTATATTAGAGCATAGGAAGAAGAAAATATCTGCAAGTAAAATTACAGTGTGTATTGTGAAATAATGAAACACCTATACAGAGTAATTTACTATAATTTTAAAACTATAACCTACACCAGGTTTAAATTAGTTTCATAAATTATTTGTATTTCCACTATTTCAGAAGCATGTTCACTATAAATTATGTATATGTAGTTCAATTTCAGCTGTAAAATGAAGAAAAACAGACATGCAGCTTTTTGCTCTCACCATCTGAAGCTAAATCAGGCCAAACATTTCTTGTTTTAGGTCAGTTAGAATAAATATACCAAAGTCACATTAATGAGACATAATTGGTCAGATATGTATAGCATTGTGTCATTTTGCAATAAATTTAAATATCACAAACATTAGAAGGCCTTGAATTAGAAGGTTTTAGGTGTATTTCTGCTAACTATGTAGAAATGAACATTTTACACAATAAACGTTTCACATAAACATTTCAGAATTCACTTCTCACTGCTAGGACTAAAAAATGAAAAAAACAATTTTGTCACCTTTTTCTTTAAAAGAGAAATTGTTCTTCTAGCACCAGACAACTGTATCATCTCAAATATGAAAAAGGCCTAAAAGAAAGTTTCCTCTTTGCACTGTGCTTGCTGACAGCGATTTAATTTGCATGTGGATGAGAGAGAATGATGTAAGTGATTGCCTCTCAACTGGCCAAAGCAGCTGCCAAGGTAAATTTCCCTTGAGGTGTCAAAGGTCGAAGATATGTAATTGTTTTCCCTCTTAATTCAACCAAGTTTTCATTTAATAGCTGGGAACAGAATCTGATCCTGCAATCTGTATAAGCTGTATAACCTGGTTGCTCCACTTGGTTTCCCCAATAACATCAACTGATGCTAAATAAGACAGACACCTCAGAATCCTGATTAAATGAATACTCTGCAACTTTCCCGCTTTTGCAGTGACGATTATTCATGGCCTAATCGACATCAACAAGATGCAGCAAGGCTCAGGTTTCACACTGAGATGAGGTGAAAAAGTGTTTAAAAAAGCAGAGGTGACAAACGAGCTGTGATGAGAAAGATTATGTAATAGTTCCTACATGTAGAAGTGAAAGTCTTTTTTTAATAACCTATGATATCAAGCCATTGAAAAAGATATGCATGAACATATAGAAACTGAGTAAAGTCGAATTTGTATGTGATTCGAATACCTGACTTTGCAATGCAGTCTCGCAGAAAAAAAAATCAAATTATTTTCCTAGAAGATAAATGTTAATAGATGTACAAGCTGTATATGTTGCAGAGCAGCCATTATATAAACGTTCCTTTACAGTGCTTTGTACATCCATCAGAAATGGGTAATTTCTGATGGATGTACATCAGAAATGATGTACATCCATCAGAAATTATTATATAATAATTTCTGTGAAATTATTATATAATAATGTCTGATATGTCTGATGACAGATTATCCTGGCAAGAGTATGTAGTGAGAGTAGTTTTTTTTGTGTGTTTTTTTTCCACAGGCAAAGCAGAGTTATACTGTAGGGCTTGAGACTAACTTTTTACACTGGTTTCACCTAACTATTTTTCGTAGATGCACCCACAATTTTGGTCACATCATAGTCTTTGTTTAACAAACTGTCTTTTTTAAACAAAGAATAAACTGGGTGACTGAATTTATCACCTTGTGTACAAAGAGTTCTGTGCAAATAAACATGCTCTGCCTTTGCAGCCGAGGGGAATGACATCATTCAAAGAACTGCAAAATAAAGACAATACTGAGATGTGTTTTGTAAAATATGCAGAAAAAAAATCTTCTGTGCCTTATAGAGAACAAATACTCTTGAACTTCTTCGAAGATGTATGTTTGGATAATTTCCAAACACTATTTCAAAGCAGTCATTTGAGCTTCCACTGCAACGGGAGCAGAGCAGAATTGTTCGACTGATGTTTTTCTTGCAGCCTCTTGGGAGCCTCTGCTCCACAATGGATGAAGCAGGTCAGGATGAGGGATGCAATACTGCCTTCTTACACAGAAGAATATATTAATAATGACTTAAAGAGAATAAATTAATAAAAATACATAAAAATAAATTCTGATGTGTGTATCTGATTGCTTGAATTTCACACCACGGTCAGTCAACAGACTGACAGAGCTTTACTTTAAAAATTTTTATAACCCACACCTGTAACTTTATAAAAATGTTTTTAGAAGTATTTTCAGAGCATGGCCCAATAAGAATTGATCCCTGGGAGACACCTTCTGATCCCAAGACAGCAAAAACAACAACAACAAAAATCTGAGGAAATTTTCTTTTAACCTGATTCTGGGCACACTGCCAGTCCCACTGGTACATATACTGGTAAATTCTGGATTCTACAATAGGTAAGACAGAATATTCAATTGTGGTGGTGGCATAGTGAAGGGAAGAGAAGCTTTTCCAGCAAAAATGATTAAGAGTGACATTTGTTGTCCCCTTATTGCAAACTAATTTATGAATGACACATTTAGGTTTTTGTTCCAATATAACAGTTTGCAAATATCCAAGCAAAGCTGTCAAATGCCAAGGGCAAATGTTTGAATGGGTGCATCTCTGAAGACACCTTGCAAACCCTGAAAATGAAAAGAACCTCAATACAGAAAATCTATCAACAAAAACTGGTAAAGCTACAACTAAAGCCAGAAGTTTACATACACTCAATAAAAATACAAGTTTTTTTTGTCCTGAATTGTTTTAAATTAAAACAGACTAAAGCTCAAAAAACATATTTTCCCTCAAGTCAAACCGTCTTCAAGTTACTGTTTTTATGGATATATTAATAAAGTGAGGAATAAATGATGTACTGGTCTGAAGACTGAAAACAGCTCCACCTGTCTGTAGACAGCAGGATTACAGTCTGTCAGGACTTAGACTGCTCTAAAAATGTTTGGCGAATTTGAAGTAGATGTACACTGTTGAGTAAATGTAGTTCTCTTACTGTAGTTATACGGAGTAATTTTTAAAAGACAGTTGCTATTGCATATTTGCTTTAGGTTGTTCTTCAATATAATACACTGTACATACTCATGGTGACCCCGGCCAAGCTCTGGGAGGTAGGGAAGCTTCTTGATCCTGATAAGAGAATCGTAGTACGACGGCTGCAAAGATTGAGCCACGGCGTTGGCCAGTATAATAGCTATCATCACTGGCAGGATGTGAGAGATCTGACCAGTCAGCTCAAACACAATGATCGCAGGTGAAACGGTGTGGGTGACCGCTCCTGACAAGGCTGCAGCACCTGTGGACGGGAGAGAACAGCAAAACAGGAGACTGTCAGTGTCACGGTAAGCTCTGAAACACCAAGGGTTGTATTAACTGAATATTTTCTGAATGGTTTTCTGAAATGTTGGTGGAAACTTCAGAAGGCTGTGTAATTTTGACAAACTGCATTTCACATCTCTGACCTCTTAGTGCAGATGTGTAGATGTTTTCAATTTTATGCACAGATTACATTGTGGAGGAAACTAAATCTATCAATCAATCAAAAACCTGAAAAAGTACTTTCATCTGAAAATCACCTCTGGTCTGGACATCTTCTTCAAACTCTTTGTTCAGCTAAATAAATTCACATTCTTTTTCTAAACACCCAGAAAGTAGAAATTAACCCACACATGTAAATTAATACTGAAGGAAATATCTGCATCAACTCATTTTTCTTTCCTTTCTTAAAATTGATGTAGAAAAAGTTGTGTAAAATCTGGGACCAAACAGACAGAGCAGCATGGTGTGAATGAGTCTTCACACAGACAGAGAAAATGGATGAGTCCATTTTAAACAGTGGAAAAAAGAGGAACAATGGAGAAAGAGAAAATTAAAGAGAGAGCAATACAAGGAGAGAATGAACAAACAGATGCTAGATGGCAGCGTTCACACCAGCAGGTTTCATTGTTCTTTCTCATAACTTAATTAAACCGTGTCTGCCTCCCTCTCCTCAGATAAATGCTGCTTCTGCTCTCTCCACCCTTCCTAATGCTCAGTCTTTAGAGCGAGCTCTGCTGTGAAATGAAAGAGGCTCATCAGAATGTCGGGCCTGCATAGCGCTGAGTCATCTGCTACAGCAAGGCACAACAGCATCAGCAAGCCCAGAAAAAAAAGGGAAGAAAAAAAGGGAAAACAGCAGGCGCCGAGGCTGCAGCAGAGGCACTGCTGTCAACAAGTAGGACTGCAGCAACACTGGATCTCATTATAGGCACAACTTTAAGAAATATTGTGGATGTGTAATCATAGTTTTAAAAAACAAAGTAAAATCAATCATTTCTACCACTTATCTACAGTATATAAAAAAAATCCATTGAATCTTTGCTAATAAAGTTCACCAACAAGTGATGATTGTGTTATGATTTACGTCTTTCAAAAAAGTACTTTTGCATTTGGTTGATTTTGTTGGGTCATTTTTGTTTCCATTATGTTCTATCCTCATAGTATTTTATGATTTTTATTTGTGGTGCATCAAAGTTTTGATCTTGAGCAGGGAGCTCAAACTAAGAAGACTAAAACTAGATGAATGCTACCAATAGACTAAATCAGACTTTCATACTTATTCAAAATTATCTGGTAATAAATTAATGAGTGTTCAACATACCCGCAATAGCGTAGGCTCCTGGCTCTATGGAATAAATGGACTCATTAGAGTGAATGCCATCTGGGAACCAGGCTGCCATGCATTCTCCAACCAAACGACCAAACGCTGCTCCTACAATGGCCAAACCATGGATGAAGAAAGAAAAAGTCAGACCTCGGGTTTCTGCCTACATGCAGAGAGGTCAGAAACCTGAATTTCTGTACAATGGAATGACTATTTTTCCAAACTATAAATACTTCATGTAATACATTTCTTTCTGCAGTGCTACATCTCCTCTAGAAGAGTAACAACAGCAGTGAAAGGTGTAGGTGTTGGTGTAAATTAATTCTGTAGGTGTAGGTGTAAATTAATTCTGCAAATTTACCAAAGTTGATTGCTACGACTTTGGTAAAAATATGACTGTCACCCCCATCTGATGGATGTAGAAGGTTTAAATTGGTGAATTAGAGTCTTAAGGTGGAAAGCCAGCAACAGTGACACATCTGGTTCCACAGAAATCTCCACCTTTAGGAGGTAGAAACTTATTTCTGTCATTTTGCTTATTAAAATTGTATCAGTAACACATCAATGTTTTTAGTGTTAAGTTTTCTAATACTGATTTGTACAAGTAGACTAATACTTATGAAAAAAAAAAGTTAGGTCACCCTAACCCTCACTGCTTTTAGGAAAGGGGCTGTCCTCTCAGTCGCTACTTTCTTTTGGTTGCAGCAGAAGAAAAAAGTTGATACAACAAACTGGTGCAATGGCTGCATAAGCCATTGCACCAGCATCTTATTCATCATCAGCATGTCTCTCCTGTTTAATTTTTTGAACCAAGACTTTGATGGGGCTGATTAGACTTCCTAAATGACAGTCAAACTTCACCTTTTCCAAAAAGACAGACTGTTAGAACAGCTCACTGTTCTAAAACACACATTGTTAATTGCTCATTACCAATGACAAACACAGGTACGAAAGATCCACAGGGCACAGGCATGGTGATGGCCAAGGCAGACATCCAAAACTAAAGAGAAATAAAAAAAAAAAGTGAGATAAAGACATAAAATGAAAGAACTGGATGGCATTTCAATTAGATATCCAAGTCCTATGCAGTGTGCCCAAACATGATAGCTAAGCTGAATCCCAAATCAGCAATGAGGGGGCAGCCATGCGAGGTTTATTGCCGAGGTTAGATTGAACTGTCACATTCATTCTTCATTTGACAAAGACCCTGAAATAAAGATTGTGTAATGAGTGGCCTGCGCTGATTGGCTGACACTACAGCAGGCAAGGGGAAAGGACAGCTAATTAGGCAAGAAAAGGGAAATGTCAGCGCTGACAATGTGTAAGCATTGCTCGATGTCCAGATGTGTAGGTGAGCCTGTGTTTAAAATGATCAACAGATTTAGTCCACAAAGTCACTACACAGATATTACATAAGATATCTCATTAATATGAGGTATTAATTACCTCATTTCACTCAACGATCACAATATTTATCAGTTTTAATACATAATCAGTCATTACATCCTTGACACTTAAGTAAGCAAATGCACCAAGGAAGATTGAAATGCATAATCAATTGTTAGCCAAAAGCTAATATTAGCTTGAGGTTCAATAATGATTGCTTTAAATATACAAATGGAGCAAAGGGTGGATCAGTGGTAGAGAAAGTAAACCATATATAAAGGCTATAGTCCTTGTCCCAGGTTTGATTCCCAGTAGCATGACAAGTACTGCATGTCCAGCCCTTCTGTTTTTCCTGTCAAACTACCAATTAATAAAGGCCACCCTCTCAACATGCCATGCTGAACAGCAGCAGAAATAAAAGCATTTGGGGTAATTGCCAAAGTGATGTGCTGACAACTTAAAGTCAATCTTTAGAGTATATGTATCTCTAAATAAAGTTAGCTTAGTGGACAAGTCAAGTTGATTATTGATGAGATTATTAATGTAAAGAAAATGTGAGGACAATGTACCTGACTAATTCTTATGGACATTCAGTCAGATATAGGAACTGCTGATCTAAACATTATCCTCTGGCTGGCATAATAAGTTTGAGTCAGCTTTAGGCACAGCTTTGTTCTGTCTGTAGTTTCTTATATCTTATGGATTAGTTTTGAACTGTTGGAGTACAACTCAAATAACAGATAGTGCTACATTTAATGCTGACTCAGACTTTCACTGCCTACATGATGTCAAAGTTCAGCTAAAAACCAGGTTTCCTAGTATGCTTTATTTGAAGAAAAGTGGGAAGACAGGCTCATGAATTGTATTTTTAAACAAAGCAAAAATAACAAGACCAGATCTGGTGCTGCATAAGCCATTGCACCAGTTCTTTGTATTCCCACCATGAACCTAAAATAACTGCAGGTAATGTTTTGTCTACAGTCAGCCTGTGAGATGATCTGAAAATACTCCTCGACTATTTAGGTCAGTTTAGTTTATTAATTCACTTCCTGCTTCAATATGGGGCATGTCACTTATTCATCTAAGCCACACAAAATTGAGACGACGTAGCATTAAACATTCACAGGCCCAAAGAGCAGCATGTAAATTGGTGCAATATACAAACTATTAAGCAAATCTCATTGCTGTATTAATCTCATGGTTCCAAATGGACTTTTTAATTACTCTCATTGCTTCGTCTCTCTTCTCCCTCTCTCCGGACCCTCTGCTCCGTCTATAGTTAGTAGTAATTAAGGCCGGCTGCCATGGTGACGTAACGCATCTCCTGCTGCAACCTTGAACTGCAACCATTTTCACACCTCAAGCAAACACACATATGTGTGTAGGTGTTCGTACACCCCACAGGACACATCATAGCACATACTCTGTGACGAGAATCATAGCTCCATGCTGCCAGACACACAAACATTTGATTACACTAAATGAGCCTCATGGAGAAAATAAAGCAGACACTGGATTCTTCAGACTCCCCTTTCCATCGTATTGTTGAGAGAGAACCCACGCATGCACAGGGAGAACATGCAAAATCCATGCAGAAAGACCCTGGGCTGGGAATCGAACCCAAGACATTATTGCTGCGCATATTAAAGTATTTTTGGAATTTGAACAAAAAGGGGCAGTTAGTGTTTTTACAGTATGCAAATATTACCAGATTTCAGCTATTTGTGGTTGGCTGTGGTCCTTAAACCACACACACAAAGAAAAACAACATTTTCAGAAACCTAAAAATCGTTTTTGGTGCGTCACAAAATATTTTTGTCAGATTAATATTTTTTATGGTAATGTGTCAATCTCCACTTCATCTTGTCACCCACTTTCAACAATCTCTTATTGGCCCATTTAATTTGACAGATTTGAACATCCTCCTCTCTGAGAAAACTACTTTGAAAAATGTCAGACAGACAATATTAACCATTATGGAGAGATGAGGAGGAAAAAAATAATTGGAATAAAAGCAGAAAACACAATGTACAGAGATGAAGGCAAAAACTGATAAAAATTGACAAGATTTATATTTGTAGTCCAATAGAACTACACACTACTACTTTTGAGCATAATGGGAATTTTATTTTCATGGTTTAAAAGATTTTATGAACATCTGGAACATGAATCTGAAAAAAGACAAAAGTGGTTCAATCACTACAGAGAAACTTTAGTGTCAATCTGCACAAAACCTTGTGCACATAAGTATTAATATTAAATGTGATGTTGGGATTGGCCTCTATTAAGCTGAAATAGTCTGCAGGGTGTAGATGACAGGGTAATATGATCCAGCTGCTTGTTTGCACAGAAACATCCACTCAAACACAGGTGAATGTGACAAGATGCTGCCGGCTGTGTCGTTTCCATCCCCATAAGACAGCAGTCCTTACCATGGCAACCACTCTGACGTCCGTAAAGTTACAGTGACCTACAAATCCCCTGCGGCTCAGAGTTACATCTGAGATAAACTAATAAAAAGATCCCTGTAGGCTGTTAATGTCCCTTCATGTATTTTTAATAAGTCACTGATGGTAAACGTACCCCAACTATAGTCATGTCATGTTACAGATAGAATGCTATTGGTGGTTAAAACTCCTGCACTGAAGATTTAGTCTAGAAACCGTCATGTTTATAAATCAGGTTTAGCTTAAAGCTAACATACTAACAGAGCAGCACCATGTCTGCCATATGTGTACTGTTTTTAAGCTAATATGTTGTCAAGAGGGAACTTTCTTTAAGATATATGAAGATATTAGAACAATATTAAAAAAACCAACTCTGTCTCAGCCTCTCGCAGCCTGAACAAACGGTAGAAAGTGCTTCTATTTAAAATAGTTGGCTCTGAGTTTTCTTTAATCAAGAACAACCTCCGCACTCCGAGTATTAGGAATTTGTGCGATAGTGTTCAGTATGGAGTGATCACTGATGAGGAAGGATAATAAGTTTCATTTGTCATATGCAAGTTAAGAAAGTAAACAAGGCAATTAAATCCTTTACTTGAGAAGAACTGTTCAAATGTCTATAAAATAAAGTAGTACTAGCATTGAATGGAAGTAAAAAAATTAAATAAATCAAAGAATATATAATATTTACAACTGCAGAGAAAATCTACCAAACAATACAGTAAAATATATACTGCAGGACAAATAAAGTATAGGCAGTATTTTGTAGTATTTCACAGATGATAATATGGCTTAGACGATTATACATGATGGTCATAAAGTGCAGCAGTTATAGACATAAGTGTCACAAATGTGGCTTAGTGCAGTATTATTATTGAGAGTTTAGTACTCTCAACAATATTAACCACGTAGCAATATAGTTTAGTGACGGTTTGTGGAGAATGCTCATCTTTCATTCTTTTTGGGTGTCCTGGCCGGCTCCTACACCATAAACTAGGGAGTAGCAGTTGGAAAAGTTCTTGTTCTGAATGGGTGCAGATATGAGAGGAAGTTGGGTTTCCAGCCAACTAAGTCAATGTCTTATTGTTTTACAATAAGACATTGACTTTGAGAGCAACATAATCTGACCTGGTCTCCAGAATTCATTAAGCTGTTTCCTGCTTTCCCTGTTTTATGACTGCAGTTATAAAGAATGGAAGACCCATTCTTTATATCTGTTCACAAAGATCTGAGGTGACAACCTGAAAAAGCTGACTTTGAGAATTTTATGCCATTTGATTTGCATTGATTTTGATCAAGAATCAACACCACAAAGAAGTCTACACTGAAACGCATATGTTCCCTAAAATGAGCATCACGTACCTGCAGAAGCATCGGTACATGTAGAACATGTGTCATGGGACAAACCAACTCCCTTGAAGGGAAAGTTAAATATATCTAGAAATATCAAGATTTGTTTTAAAATCAGCTGATCATATGTGGGTTAAGCACGACTATTTGTCCTGCCAGGACTAAGGCTACACTCAATTACGTTTCCTAACTATTACTGTAACAAATCTTATACAGCAGAAATTACTCACTCCCCCAGAGGAATCATTAATTTTTCATTTAATCTGATTTAATCGACTCTCTGTATGTCTCACAGAAGCGGTCCACTGCCATCAGACATAATTATGAGGATTTCCAATCACAAACTGAATGGAGACTTCAGTAAACCAAGGTTTTAGAAGAAGAAAATAACTCTACAGCATGAAAAGCTTTGATGTCTTAAAATCTCCAAGGAGCAGCCAGAAAACACAGAAGGAATCCTAAATTAAAATCCATTTAGAATATTCCTAATGAACCACATGAATTTTGAAGGTGGCTTTAATAAGACGTATTATTTATAGAGCTGCTTCAGGCTTATACTATTTTCGAGGAAGAGGAAGTAGTTATTGTATTCAATTCAAATACGGATATTACATCTTCTAAACTTGTTGGCAAAGTCTGGACAGGAATGCAAAGCTAGATTTAAGCAGCCAGAAACATGTCTGAACAGTACTGTGTTTGTATCTAGAACATTAGCTGGAACAGTGAACAATACCAGGAGTCCCAGGACACAACAACCTCAAAAACAAACAAGTTATTCCTCAGTCGAGCAATAAAAACAGTCAAGAGACAGTTTGTCCCT